TTCTTTCATTTTAAATGTGTCATATTTTTCTGGGTGTAGATTAATGAAATAGCAGGAGCTCCATGTTCGGCAGAATGGAATAGAAATGGGAATGAATCTCAGAAGAATCCTACCTCAAGAAAAATGGAGACAAAGCACAAACAAGGATAAAATGTAAGACAAAGATGCAAAGAGAAGGCAAAAGTTGAATCCTGATAAAGTAATGAACCAGGAGGAACCCTGGTGAGATTAATGAGTAATAATAGAAAAGCCACAACGTGACTATGTCATCTTGAAAAGGGCTAACATCACAAATCTGGGCAAGACTGAAAAGAGAGGCAGCGCGCGCGCACACACACACACACACACACACACACACACACACACACTCACTCATACACATACTCACACACACACATACACGCACGCGCACACACACACACTCACACACACACACTGATGTGTCAGAATAATAAAGCAGACAGCTTCTTAAGGACTGTCAAATTAGGACAAAGCTCAAGTCACCCACAGCAATAAGTAAAATATATGCATGAACAAATGTTTCTGAAAACACAAGAAAATACTGGTGCTGTGGGCTGGATGTGGTTTGAAAATGTGCCTCAAAGGTTTGTGGATGAAAGCTGATGAAAGCTTGGTATGACAGTGTTGTTGCTGCTGCTGCCGTCCCCTCCTCCTCCCCCTCCTCCGACTCTGACTCTTACCTCAAATTATACCACTACTGGACACCCCAACCCCTATGCATTACAGACAATTGAGAAAACACCAAAGCTACAAAAGTGAAAATTAAAGGTGATCCCTATCTTCAACTTTAAGCCCATTTCTTTTTAACCGTTTGGATGGAATTGCTTCTAAAATGTCTTTCATTTTTGTTGTTCTCTAAGAGTTCTTTGATGCATTCAGGCCCGTTGGCACACTCTCCGCTGTGCGGCGGACAGATGCTACTGCGTTGTGCTTTGATATGGGAGAGCTGATGATGACAGCTGACAGAAAGGGCGTGGGATAGTCACCTCTTGCCGAACGTCTCTGGGCTGCGAGTATTTCTGGTCTGTCTCCTGGCAGATGCCTACGAAATCATTCTCACTAGGGATGCTTGTCTTGGATTTCCCCTTTAGCCTCTGCCCCACATCTAACCAACCATCATTCTTCAAATCTCTTTCTGATTTATCCAGACCTCTCCATCCACCCACTCGGGCCCGGGTCCATGTGGCAATTCTTGAGAATTTTTAGCATCTCTGGGAGAGCCTGGTCCCAGCTCTGCATGCAGGACCCAGCTTTGCCTTTGTGAGCCCTGGGCCCTTCCTTCCTCTACCCGGGGAGCTCTGGCCGTACTAGGTTGTCATTTCTTGCTCACTCAGTTTCTGTCTCTGTCTCCAGTGGAGACAGCACCCGTACCTCGTTGTCCATCTTGACTAGGTGTCCAGTGCAATGCAGGCTTATTATTTAGCAGCAAGGGTTACCCTATAGGGAAGGTCGACAACACCCACCCTGGGCTGTGGTTATGCTTTCATGTCACAACAGTGTTGCACATGCAGCATGGTTCTGAGTCAGCATCGTGTTGTCCTGGGGTGGCGCTGTCCCCTGTGGTTGTGAGACCTGGGAGCTGGGGACTCTGCTTCACTCTTCTTAGTGTCCCTGGAATACAGTCATTGACCATCTAGTTTTGGGTGCTTGCATCCTCTCTGAGGACGGGAGAGAACTTGGAAAACAGACAAGCAAAATACAACTGCAGATTTTTTTCCTCGGCATATTCTTACTAGTCTTCACAGGCAAGGAAACATTGTCCTCACTGGCAGGAAAATCCTAAAGTGGGAACGCCGTCTCTAGGAAACCTTTAGGGAGGGGGCTGGGCTGTGGCTCAGTTGGTAGGCTTCTTGTTAGGCATGTACCAAGCCTTGGGGTTCATAATCCGCTTGTACTCCTGGCGCTAGGGAGGTGGAGGCAGGAGGATCAGGATCTGGCAGCCATCCCTCAGCTACACAGTGAGTTCAGGGCCAGCCTGGGTTTTAGAAGCAAAACAAAACAAAAGGAAACCCCCAGGATGCCTGGTTAAGTTGCATCCTGGGAAGAGAGTTCTGAGTACCAGCCATCCTCAGCAGGTACCTGGGATTGAATTCCCACTGGTTTTTAGGAGTCTGGGAGCACAGGAACCTAAGATAACTCAAGGTTCCTGAACTCTGGAGTGACAACCAGTTTCCACAGCAAGTGTTCATTTAGAAGGTCAAGTGGCCTCATACTGCAGGTCACTCACAGCGGTCCTCCAGGCCCACATGTCACTCACAGCAGAAACTTCAGATTCTGGGTCATGGGGTATGCATTTCTTGACGCAGGCCCAGAGGGAGCTTGTTTGGTTGGTGTCCCAGAGAAAAGCCATGGATGACCAGGGGCAGGAGAGAATGGGGCAGTAGGAGAGGTGGCCAGGACAGGCAGCTGGAGCCAGGCGCAGATGGACAATCTTTTGAATCCTGGTGCTTGAAGAAGGGTGTGCTGGAGGGAAAGCCCTGTGGTGCATGGTTTGTCATGTCCCAGACGAGCCAGGGAAGGGATGAAATGAGGGGATATGGCTACCACACAAGGCTAAAGGATGCCCAGCTGAGGTGACAGTGACTTCTGGCTGCTTCCCTCCACTGAGGTCGGTAGATTAAGGGGTCTTGTGCTCACCTAGACCTTCAGATGTCTCGGTCATGTTCTCTCAAGGTGGACAGTAAGATCGTGCTCAGTCAGGAAGCCACATGATGGTTCCCTCTCCAACCCCAGTCTGCCTTGGAAGGACGTCTGGCTTCGATTTCTCTCACAATGTGTTTGGTAATGTGACCTGGTGTGTTCTGTAAGTGGGTCCAATATGCGTGTAAAAATGAGTTCCATTTTCGTGGCAATTTAAATGCACTTTTAAACACTCAATGGTTGTAAACCAACAGAAATGTGGAGTTTAAATGAGGTCACACAAAATCCCAGCTTTGTTCAGGGTTTTTCTCTCACGGTGGATGTGACTGGCTGCTAACATTCATCCCACTTTGACTTCTCTCCAAAGATGGGCTGTGACCTGGAACCCTGAACTCAAGGGAAGCGTGTCTCCTGTAAGTTCCTTTTTTGTCAGGGTATTTTTTTAAATCACAGCAGTAGAAATGAAACCAGGGCATGTATGAACGCACGAGATGCAGTTATTACAAAAATACATAAGATCTTGCCTTGTCTTCTCTGTGCGTCACCAGGTGGCGGGCATTCTTACTCCTACATTACATGTCTAGCATCCGTCCTTCACGCTGGAACTTTCTCAGCAGAGCCTCTATTGGTCCTCCTCCTGTGCTGTTTAACTGATGAATGGCGATGCCATGGCTCATATAAGCATTCCTCACATTTGCAAACTCGAGTTACTTCTTATTTTGCCATTACCCACAAGTGATGCAACAAACACTTCTGAAATGCCTGTCGGTGCAGGGTTTCACTTATCAAAGCTAATAACAGAGGTGAGACTACAAAATCAGACACACACACATTTGTGATACTGACGGATGTTGCCAAGCTGTGACCCTGAAAGAATGTACTATTGGCTACTTTTGCGAGAAATGCATGAGGCAGGTTGTCTGGGCTCGTTATTGCTAACTTTGTTTTACTGATTTGATGTCAAAGTTTTAATTGGCATTTCTATCATTAACATTGAAGATGCTCATTTTGTAACTGATCCTTTTGAAACAGGGTTTCTCTGTATAACTGTCCCGGCTGCCCTAGAACTCACTCTGTAGAGCAGGCTGGCCTTGAACTCACAGAGATCCGCCTGCCTCTGCCTCCTATGTGCATGGGTATTTTTGCTTCCACGTGTGTCTGCGCATGCCCGGTGACTGTGGAGACCAGAAGAGGGCATTGGCTCTCCAGGGACTGGAGCTCCAGATGGCTATGAGTTGCCATGGCATGTGCATGGGAGCGGTGGTGGTGGTGTCACACTGGGGTGCTTTTAACCTTGGCACCATCTCTCCAGCCTCCTTGTTCTTTTTTCTTTTAAAGATCGTGTCTCTTACTGACTTGAAAGTTTTTCAAGTGAGCCAGGCCAGTTGCCTAGTGAGTCCCAAGGACCCGACTGTCTCCACCTCCCCAGCACTGAGGTGTCAAGAGCTCAGCATTCTGCCCCACCTGGGGATTGAACTCAGGTCTTCAGGCTTGTAAGTCGAGCATCTTCATTGACTGAGCCATCTACCCAGGCGTGGTATTTGTCTTTAAAAGTGTATTTATTATATCACTTTGGTAAGATACTAATGCCATTTCTTTTGTTTTGTTGTTTTGTTTTTTGAAGCAGGGTTTCTCTGTGCAGTCCTAGCTGTCCTGGAACTCACTGTACAGACCAGGCTGGCCTCAGACTCACAGAGATCCTCCTGCCTTTGTCTCCCACATGTCAGGATTAAGTCATGTGCCACCACACCTGGCTCTACTAATGCCATTTTTAAGGCCCATTACTTTTGAGGAAAGTTTTACCAAAGTGAAAAATAATATCGTGGTTGATTCAGTAATGCAGTAATGTCCAGAATACTCCTACAGTGCTCTCCATCAGATCTGCTACAGAAGGAATGTATTTGTGGTCATCTACCATGAACACTTGCTGATCACTCAACTTATATTCTCCTCCTCTTGTTTGGGATCCTTTTTAAGTGTTAACCACATAGTAAACAACATATTCTGAAATTTCATCACATTTATGATATTGAATTCCAAGCTCCTCATGTACACTCTGTGATAACGCCTTGAGTTTTTTCTTTCTTTCTTTCTTTCTTTCTTTCTTTCTTTCTTTCTTTCTTTCTTTCTTTCTTTCCTTCCTTCCTTTCTTTCTTCCTTTCTTTCTTTTTTTTTCGAGATAGGGTTTCTCTGTTTTGTTTTGGAGGCTGTCCTGGAACTCGCTTTGTAAACCAGGCTGGCCTTGAACTCACAGAGATCCACCTGCCTCTGCCTCCTGAGTGCTGGGATTAAAGGCATGGGCCACCAACGCCCGGTGAGTTTTTTATTTCTTAAAAGGGTTAAATTTCATCTCTCAAGTTTATTGTTTTTCAGATTTTCTTTTTTAATATTTGCTTATCCTGACCCACAGCTCCCTTGTGTATTTTGGTTTGTTGACATGGTGGAAAAAGAAACCAAATAAAGAAATGTAAAGATGAGAAAAACCAAATCCAGGAAAGCAATGAGCGTTTTCCTGGGACTGCTGAGAGCAGGGTGGATGGGAGTCCCTGGCTGGTAGGTAGAGTCTGATACATCAGCACAACAAACCACGCAGGCGGTAGCTCCCCGCGGATGGAGCTCAAGGGTACATGCAGTTACATTGTGTGGGTTTGTGGTGTGGGAAGAGTCTCTGCCTCTGGTCCAGCAGCAACCATACTCTTTCTCGTTAGCTTAGCTGAAAATCTGCTTTCTTGCCTTGGATGTAAATTCTCATCTCTTTCTTTTTTCTTGGCCTGCGATAGGAAATCAGATTAGATAGGTGAGAAAGAAGTTATGAAAGGGACATCAAGTGGGCACTAAATAAATGAAACAAAAGTTAAGTGTAGGATTGATTTGTCCAAGGTCACACTTGTGATGTCTTCCGAGTGATGGTTTTCATGAAGGACATGGGTAAATAACTTGCAGGAGAGGGTGTTTCACCCTCTCCTCCATAGCAAAGAATGTATTTGAAAGCCAAAAAAACCTTCTCACTAGTTAAATGAATGCAAAAATCTAGATACTTTGATCCATTATTACATGGAATTTAAGAAATTATTTTTCACCGCGTTTGTCTCAATTGTTTGATGAGCGAAGGCTGTCACGGGAACACTGCTCAGTTGGCGAGTTTTCTTACTGCCTTCTCTATGAACATATGGACGCTGCTGCTGCTAGTCTATGGAGGAGGGCGGCTCTCCTTCCTGTGCCGCTTGCAGCCCTACCCTCTGCACATGGTCCTGCCCAGGGGTGGGCTGCCCCAGTTCTGTTTCCCCGCATGGTCTCAGTTTCTAGACCAGTCCAATCTGAGATGTGGGTAACAGGGTCTCATCAAATCACCCAGCAGTTCTGCAGGCCTCCTAGGCTCCAGGTGGGGGGACAAGCAGGTCTACTGAGCTCCCAGAGTCTCCAGAGCCAGCCACAGAGCATGAAGAGCAGCAATGCCAGCAAGTGATAACAACAACAACAACATTGAGAGAAGTACCGGTGCCAGCAGTGGCAATAATAACAGTACCAAGAGCAGCAGTGTCAGCAACAGCATGAACAACAACAGTAGTAACAATGACAGCAGTAACAACAGCCGTACTGACAGCAGTGCCAACACTAACGGTAACAGCAGCAGCAATAGTAAAAACAGCAGTGGGAGGCGTTGCAGACGTAACAGAAATAACAACTGTAGCATCCTCAATAGTGACAGCAATAATAGCAATGATAACAACAGTCACAGCAGCAGTGTCAACAGTAACACTAGTGGTGGTGTGAGCAGCAGGAGCAGTCACAGCCCTGGACCCAGTAACAACAATAGCAGCCATAGCAACAGAACTAACAGTAGCATGAACAGTGCTAGCAGCAGCATTGACAACAATAGTAGTAACAGCAACAGTAGGGAAGACCACAGCAAAAGAAGCAAGGACAGCAACAGCAGCACTACTAAAGATGACAGCTGCAGCCGTGATAACAGCAGGAACATCAAGAACAACACCATAAAGAATAGCCACTGCGTAAAAAGTCACAGCAGCTTCAACAGCAGCAGCAGCAGCAGCAGCATAAAGAGCAGCTGTAACAATAAAAGGAAAAATAACAGCAGCAGACACATTCATGTCAACAGTAACAGTGACAACAGCAACAGTGACAGCAGCAACAGCAACAGAGACAGCAGCAGCAAAAACAGTAAATGCAACAGCAGCAACAGTGACAGTAATACCTACAGTGACAGCAACAATAATAGTGACAGCAATAGTAACAGTGACAGCAGCAGGAACAGCGACAGCAACAGTAACAGTGACAGCAGCAGGAACAGCGACAGCAACAGTAACAGTGAGTGACACCAACAGTAACAGTGACATCAACAGCAAGAACAGTAACAGTGACAGCAATAGTAACAGTGACAGCAATAGTAACAGTGACATCAACAGCAAGAACAGAAACAGTGTCACCAACAGTGACAGCAGCAATAACAGTGCCACCAATAGTGACAACAACAGCAACAGTGACACCAACAGTGACAGCAACAGCAAGAACAGCAACAGTGACAACAACAGTGTCACCAACAATAACAGCAGCAGTAACAGTGACACCAACAGGGACAGCAACAGTAACAGTGACATCAACAGCAAGAACAGTAACAGTGACATCAACAGCAAGAACAGTAACAGTGACATCAATAGTGACAGCAACAGTAACAGGGACACCAACAGTGACAGTGACATCAACAGTAACAGTGACACCAACAGTGACAGCAACAGCAAGAACAGCAACAGTGACAACAACAGTGTCACCAACAGTAACAGCAACAGTAATAGTAACACCAACAGGGACAGCAACAGTAACAGTGACACCAACAGGGACAGCAACAGTAACAGTGACATCAACAGGGACAGCAATAGAGCAGTGACTGCAACAACAGCAACTGTAACAGTAACAGTAACACAGCAGCAGCAACACCAGCAGTAACAGCAACAGAACCACCAAACAGCAGGCCACCATTCAGCTCCCACAAATTGTCAATAAGAGGAAATACCTGTTCCAGATTCCCACATCTGGTTTTGTCACAGATCCTGGGAGTTCAGTATTTCTCACCTTAGAAAAGATCACGTGGCCAGAAAAAGAACTAGGTGTCCCACGGCTGCCGGCATGTGACATCAAGCTCAGTTGAGACCTATGTTCTCAACAGCAGTTCCAGAAAAGTCTCAGACCCCTGGGCCTCAGCATCTTTGCACCCTGGGACCAGGTGTGTTTCACATTGAACAAATAAAATTTTCTCCTCTTTATCAGGTTTTGCCTTTCTATCCTAAGAAAGTCCTTTGCATAAAGTTTCTGTGTGGCGTGTCGGAGCCGTCAGCATCACTGCTGTTGTACTCTGCGTCATGATCAAGTGAAAAGAAGGGTGTGTGGACACGAGTACAGTGATACCTTGGCATTCCAACAGGTAACGCAGTGTCTGCTCAGGGCCTAATGGGCTGGTAGCACATACAGTGTGGTTACACCAGGCAAAGGAAAGATTCTTGCCATGAGTGTGACAGGGACAGACACGCAAGATTTTGTCATGTCACTCAGAGAAGTGTGCAACATAAAATCATATGTAGATATGAATTCTTTCTGGAATTTTCCATTTAATATTTCCAAACTCCAATGGAAGCTGAAGGACCACGGGGTATTCAAAGGATGGAAATAAAAACTTCAGATAAGGGAGGCTACTTCTATAATCTTGTCATCTTATTTTTAATACTTTTTTATATTTGTATGTCTATGTATTTATGTTGTACTTACTCAAATGGTAGAATGAATACTTTTCTATGTTCTGTTTTTTCCCAATAAAAATGTATTTTTGACAACTTTTCTTATCAGAGGACATATGTCTGTCTCTTTTTAAAAAATGTATATATATATATAGTGTTTTATAGTATGGCATATAATAATTTATTCAACTGGATTTCCAACTGAAGAGCATTTAGGTGCTTCTAGTCCTGTCCTGCATTAAAAGATGCTTTATTGGTTAGTCCTAACCACACATTTCACACACGTACATGTCAAGAGGTGGTGACTAGGTAAGGGCAGACAGACAGGTATCACCCTGTTTCTATGGTTGGAAGCCTGTCTTGGAGGAGCATGGTTCACAGTCACGTAGGTCCTGCATGTTATTCCCCAGTACAGTGTTTTCCAGGTAGTCTGATCTCTGACGACCCAGAGGAATGCCAGTGATTCATCAGCTCACGTTCTCCTGCTTATGGGGTGGTGGTGGGACTCTCCTTTCTGCTGAGTCAGCTGCCCAGCCCTTTCCTGTCTCCTGCTTTGGCAGTTGTTCCTACATTACTAAACACTTTATCCAGGCTTCTCAGTGATGACAGTATTTCAACTCAACTTTGAATTTTTGTAACTGCAGACAGACTAGGATTCCTCATATAGGCCCAAGATTTTTCTTCCTTCTTCCTTCTTCCTTCCTTCCTTCTTTCCTTCTTTCCTTCTTTCCTTCTTTCCTTCCTTCCTTCCTTCCTTCCTTCCTTCCTCTCTCTCTTTCTCTCTTTCTTACCCTCCTTCCTCTCTTTCCCTCCCCCTCTTTCTTTTCTTTCTTCCCCCTCTTTCTCCCACTCTATTTTTTTGCTACATTTAGGCAGACACTGCCTATTATGAAGGTATGAACTATAACCAATCCTTCCATGTTTTTTTTTTACTACTTCTTGTCTCTTTTTGATGTGTAATGTTTTGTTGTAGCTTGCCTTGATTGCATGATATGAGATCTGGGTTCAACCTAATCTTTCTCCCCAGCTGGATCCAGAATTGCCTAAGCGTCTATGCAGGAGTTCTTTCAGGGAGCCCAAGTACCTACCTCTGCATGTTCTCGGCATCCTCAATGGTCTCAGGCAGAGCCTTCCCTTTGGTCTCAGGTAGCAACAGCACAAGTCCCCCAGCAACAAGGCCAACTACAGCTGGGACACAGATGTGAATCGAATCAAGAACCAGAAAGGCTGTCTCTATAATTAGGGCTTCCCTTGTTCCCCTCTCTCTTTTGGGGGGTATGTTTTCCCATTCTTATTTATAGACTCCTTTGCCATCTTTCAACATCCCATTTCCCATCATAAATAATGTACCTAATGCCAAACACCATTGGGTAACAATTCCATTTAGGGAAATGAAATACTTAACATTTTGAGTCAAGGTTATTCTAGGCGACAGGGCATCTCCACAGTGTTAAGAAATTCCAGAGTTAGAAAATAACTCCAAAAAAAACCCCTAACCATATGAAGAAGAATATAACTCTGCCAATAGAAAGCATCCAGAGTTGGGAACAAGTCAGAAACTTGGACCATTGCTAGCTAACAAGAGTAACTAACAAGGGCTAGCAAGATGGCTCAGTGGGTTAAGGTGTTTTCTGCTAAGCTTGAGGATATGAGTTCAATCCCCAGAACCTACCCACCACATGGTGGAAGGAGAGAACTGAACTCCACATCATGGCACCCATGCAAACACACACACACACACACACACACACACACACACACACACACTCTCTATATATATATCTATATCTATATCTATATATAATTAAGTAGTCCCTTTAGTAAAAGAACAATGCATTATATATCACTGCATATACAATACTAACACAAAGCACAGTGAAGCCATTCAGTCATTTAGTTCACGTTCAGATGTTCAGGGCTGAGAGGTTAGTGGTACTCACCTGTAATCGTAGCATCTGGAAGACTAAGGAGGGGAGACTGTGAATTCAAGGGAAATTTGACCTACAGAATGAGGCTCTGTCCCTGTGCTGTCTAATTGAGTTAAACATCTTATTTTATGTATATGGGCGTTTTGCCTGCATATGTGTCCATGTGTCGCTCGGTTCAGTGTTGCTGAGCCCATATAAGAGGGCGCTGGATTCTCTGGACAGTTGTTGGCTGCTGTCTGGCTGCTGGGAACCAAATCTGAGTCCTCTGCAAGAGCAGCCAGTACTCCAAACCGCTGAGGACTCACTGAGTCCCCTGGTTAGTTTTTATTGTGAACTTGGCACAACATAGTGTCCTTGGGAGGGGACCTCATTTGAGTAACTGCCCACATCAGATTGGCCTGTTGGCTACATCTATGAGAGATTTTCTTGACTGATAATTGATGTGGGCTGATCCAGTATACTGTGGGCAGTGTCATTCCTCAGCAGGTGGGTCTGGGCTCAGCTATCAAGGAAGCCAGAGAACGAGCCAGGAAGCAGAGTTCCTGCCCGGACTTCCTTCAGTGGCGGAGTATGACCTTGAAGTGTAACCCAAATCAACCCTTTCCTCCCCTAAACTGCTTTTGGTCAGAGAGTTTTATCACAGCAACAGAAAGGAACCTAGAACAGTTATGCCCCCTGACCACCTCCCCACCCCCGCTGGCCATGCCCCAGTGTAGCTTAGTGGTAGGGAGCTTGCTTAGCATGTGCGAGGCCCTGGGTTCAATCCCCAGCAGGCGCAGAAAGTAATATGGTCCCTGTCATGGGTAGAACTCTGCTTCTTTTGTTCCTTTGTTCCGGTCTCTAGTTACTATTTTAATAATAGCCACGTTAATTTTTTGTCTTCTTTAAATTCATGTTGGAGGCATGTAACTTTAAGGGGTGAGCTTTGATTTTTTTCTTCGCTAGTTTGGGGTCTTAAAGGACTGTGGGCCCATGGGCACAAGCCCTGTACCAGGCATCTGGGTCCGACTCTGACTCCTGGCTGGCCCGAGGACCTGGGAACCTGAGAGTGCCATGACTTTCTGCCCTTTGTCAAGTGACGTAATCACCCCACATAGCCACGGCATGAACTGTGTCTGTGCCTGAGAATAGTTACATTCTCTGACTCTCTCGTACTTCTCAGCAGGATCCGTACCGTAAGGAGTAACAAATGCAAGCAATACTCAGCTACTTCAGCTGAAGCAGAGTCTCTTCCTTCTGCAGGGTTTCTCTACCCAGATGGGACAGCTTTAATTGTCATCTTGACATAACCTAGACAAAGGAAGAGACTCTCGGTGAGGGTTTGCCTACACTGGGTTGGTCTGTGGGTGTGCCTGTGGGGGATTGTCTTAACTGATGTGGGAAGAGCCAGCCCACTGTTGGTGTTACCATTCCCTAAGCAAGAGGTTCTTGAGCGAGCCCATTAAGCAAGCAAGAATGCTGCGTTCCTCTTTCTCGCTCCTGACGGACTGTGGATGTATGACTAGACATTTGAAGTTACTCCCTGCCTCCCAGACAGTGTGGATGGTGACCTGGAATTGTAAGCTAGGATAGGTCCTTTTCTTCCCTGTTATTTTTTTGTCACTGTATTTTGTCATAGCAACAGAAATGAAACTAGGCCAGTATCCCCAAGCCTCTTGCACCTGCTTCCCCAAGGGCTGGGCTCACAGGAGCGGCCTGCCACACCTCTCTAGCCCTGAGTCTCTGAAGAGGGTTGTTGGGGGAAGTCCTGTGCATTTGTCAATAAAGTACTGTCTGGCCAATAGGAAATCTAGATAGGAGGGACTAGGAGTCCAGGAGGACTCTGGGTAGGAGAAAACACAGGAGAGTCAACATGTAACGCCATTGGGGGTAGGAAGCCTGGAACTATTCTCCGGTAAGAGACATACTTAGATTAACAATTATGGGGTAATTACTTAAAGCAGAGCTAGCCAGTAAGAGACAAACAAGGCCAGCAGCTTCATAATGAATATAGCCTCCTGTGTGTTTATTTGGGACTGATGCGGATCTAGAACCAGGCGGGCGGAATGGTTTCTCACAAGGAAAAGCTTCTCGTAACATGGGTGAAATCCAAGAGCATCGGGTCACAGATTAGCATTTTATCCGTGCAAGGATCAGCCTCGCTAACCAGGACAGCATTACCCGCTTTCCCTGTGATCTTTATCTGTCTTGTTCTGCTGCTGTGGATGGAACCAGGGCTTCGCCCATGCTAAGCAATTGGGTGCATCTGCCGTGGAGTCCAGGGGGGCAAGTCCTGGTTCCAGTGAAGTCGAAGAGCCTGTTGGTGGATCTGAAGGCAGCCTTGGGAGCTGCCCTGAGGCACGCCAGTTACCCTGAGCAGGCGAACACAAGCAACCACAGCCATCCCTGCAGGCACACACGGGCAAGCAGCTGCCCCACAGTCTGCGGCTGGGCCAAGGGCAGCACACAGTGACTGGATGGGGTTGCCCAGGGTCTCTGGGACCCTTTCAGATTCTGTGATCAGCAGCTGATAGAGGCTGGCATACTCTACCCACTAGCAAGGAGGGAGGAGAGGCTAGAAAGCGGCTGGGTAATTCCTACTAGTTCCTGGCTCCCATGCGAGTATCAGAAGGGGCCATGCCCTGCCTCATCCTGAACTCTGCTCAGGAAAGGTACGGGTCGGGGGAGTATTAATGTATGGGCTTCGTCTCGCCGATGCATTTTATTAATTGTGAATTCTGTGTTGTCCGGGTTTTGAAATTTCACCATCTGTCTTTGAAGTAATGAACTAAAACACTTTGGGAGAGGAGACAGCAAGGGTTTGTTCTCTTACAGACCTGAGAGGGATGGGTGCCACTGCAGGGGGAGTTGGGGTGCTTCAGGGAAATGTCTTTTCATTTCACCTTGCCTTCAGTTTGTGCTTCTAAGGTATCCGTCCCGTAGCTCTGGGTTAATACTGACTTGGGAGCATTAAAATAATACAGTGTTGCTCATCACTAGTAATTAAACCTATGGAGATTTCTCACCAAACACCACCAGAGGGAACTCCAGCCAGATGTCGGTGAGACGGTAGACCAGGAAAGGTGTGATGATGCCACCAATGTCACACATGGAGGAGCAGACAAGGACCCCGAGATTCCTAAGTCACAGAAAACTGATTTAACTCTTTAACTTCTTATGGGGCAGTAGTCACCTCCCATGGTACTCTTAATTGGTTTCCTATACCATTAGATATCTGAGTATAGAAAAACATCGATTAATTGTTAATTTCAGTGTGCCGAAACAGCTCGTGTGCATAATCTCACCCATGTCTGTTGTTTCTGTCTGCTACAAGCCTTCAGACTGGAGAGAGGGTGATGCCCACATTTCCTTCCATCATGTGACTATCTCTGCTATGTCTATGGTTTCCACAGACGCACTCAGCTGCTCTGGTCACTCTCTACATGGTGGTCTTGCTCCTGTGTCCTGTGGCTTCTGGGACACTGAGTGTTAACTGCTGCCTGCCACCTTTGAACACCCATCTGTCCCCACTTGCTTTGAGGAATAAGACTGTCTAGCCCAAACCCAAGTATTTCCACTCACCTGATGTATGTGGGGTACAGCTCAGCATTGACCAGGCAGACCATTTCATAGGCCATGGTGATGCCCATTCTACCCAAGCATGCGATGGTGATTTTCAGCCACTGTAGACCTGAGGAGGAAACCCAGCACTCAAACACTCTGCAAATGGTCGCTTGTCCTCAAACACTGCTCCAGAGTGGGCTTGTGAGGACAAACTCCACACTGCAGAATGAGATAGGGAAGTGAGAATCGTTCTCTACAGATATGAGATAAATATAGCAACCTCTGCAGATCTGGATGCACCAATCTTAGATGCATTCTAACATTTTGCATGTTCACATGCATGCATGCATGCAGGTACATGTGCATCTGAGGTCAATGTCATGTATCTTCCTACACTTACATAATGAGGCAGGATTTTCCCCTTGAGCCCAGAGGTCACTTGTTCAGATAGTCTAGCTAGCCAGCTCACTCTAGGGATCCTATGTCTTTGCCTCCTATGTGCTGAGGTGACTCCGAGCCTGCTGACATTTATGTGGGTTCTGAGGGTGAATTCTGGTCCTCGTGCCAGCACAGGAAGTGCTTTACCCATGGAGCCGTTTCCCCAGCACAAATACTCTCTGTCTTGGGGCTGGGGAGATGGCTCGCTGGCTAGGAACACTTGCTGCTCTCACAGAGGACCCAGGTCTCATTCCCTGTACCCACATCAGTCTTCTCACAACTGCTTGCAACCCCAGCCCCAGGGGATCAAACACCCTCTTATGCACCCATGTGCACCCCCACAGACGGACATAAAATATGCATAGACATAAAATCCTAAAGCAAATTTAAAAAGCGTAGTGTAGCTTCATAGCAGAGAAAGTACAGCTTCCCCACAGTTCCACTGCCTGACACATACAGCCTCCTCCATTCTCAATATTCCTCTCAGGGTGGACACCTATGACAGCTGATGAATCTTCACTGATAAATCATGTCACCCAGAACCCATCGCTGACCCAAGGAGCAGTACTAAGCGGTCTGGGCACATGAAAAATGCGTGTACCTGCCATTATGTCACACAGAGTGTTTTTCCTGCCCTGGATGTCCTCTGCCCTTTGCCCTCCCTCCTCTACTCCCTTGTCTTCCTATTGTCTCCATAGTTCTGCCTCTAAGAGTTTCATAACTTTGTGTCTCAGCTCCTAGAGATGGCACTATGATGCCGGATACCGCCATGGAGGTTGCCCCAGCTGACCGGTAAAGTGAAGTGTGGGCATGCCGTAAATGATCGCTGGTCTGTGACAGTCTCAAATGAAGCTCCAGGTGACTAAAAGGATTGTTTCATGGGCGTTTGCCCCCCTTTTCTCACAGAAACATGTTGTGAGGAAAGACATAATTGCTGACGGCCTGGGAATGGTCTCATTTACAGAGCAGGATTAGACAGAGGTCAAGGGTTGTTGCTGGAACATTCTAGAGCAAGGCTGGTGACGGGCTCGAGTTCCTCAAGGCCTCTGCCCTCTGAACTTACCATCAGGGATAAAAACCAAAGCTAGACAGGCTGCTCCTGCCACCATATTTGATGCAGCCCAGGGAGAGCGGCGACCGACCCGGTCTATGGTAAGGATGATGATGAAGGCGGCTGGGAATTCCACCAGGGCAGAGTAGAAGAAATCCAGGTAGATGTTGCCCCCCGCGAGACCCATGTACATGATGAGGCCCTGGTAGAGAACAGAGCTGGTGAACCTGAACAGAGAGGAGAGTCATGGTCAGGCTGAGCGCACGCTCACACTACTGCCGGGCGGGGCTCAGGGGAGGAGGCAGGGCTAGGGTAGGGACCTTCTCCTGTGACCTTTCCTCTGCCATCCCATCTGTGCCATTGTTTTTGTACCCCCTGCTTTACTGTGGCGGGTGGGGCGTGAGCTGCAGGAACCTGGAAACTGTTGGGGAGCATCCCATTCATTGGTCCAATGAGAAGCTAAGAAGTCTTGATGCAGTAATTTACTGAACAATAGCCAGTGGCTCATGGCTGTCAATCATTTTTCTCTTTGCTGCATTTATATATTATTTGTGTGTGTGTGAGTGTGTGTGTGTATGTGTGTGTGTGTGTGTGTGTAAGTGTTCCTGTGTGTGTGAAGGTCAGAAGTTGATACATTTCTCACTCTTTCTCTCCACCTCATTTTTTTTTTTAAATAGGGTTTCTCACTGGACCTGGAGACGCTGATTTTCCAGGCTATCTGTCTGTCCATCAAGCCCTAGGATCCTCTGCTTCACCACTAGGATAACAGGCACAGACCTTCATACCTGGCTTTTGATGTGGTGCTGGGGATTTGAACTCAGGTCCTCGTGCTTGCATGGTGGTTTACCCTCTGAGCCTTCCTGCCCAGCCTCTTTGTGGTCTTCAAAAGCGTTTTGGATGTAAATACTTGACTACTTAATTCAAACTTCATGACCCCGAAGACCCAGGTACATAGCCTCCCTTCTCAGTGGTTTCTCCCCTGGCCTGATGCAACTAGCCTTCTGACAGGGTTTCTGATTTTGTTAACTTAAAATAATGGAAAATCTGAGGCCGATGGTCGGGAGTCGGTAGGAAAGGAGAATGCGGTCAAAGGTCAAAGCGGCCTGTGCCGTGCAGTACTGTGTGTGACGAATGTGGCTTTTGCTAGCAAGGGCAGGACTTTCTGCAGCCAGTGCGAGGGGCAGTGCTCACTGTGGGGAGACAGCTTCTTCAGAACGGGGGTCCTCACATGGGCACACATGTCTGAGAGTGCCCGAACACAGCCAGCCCCGAGAAGCTCCAGTCCCTGCCTGGAAGAGTTAGTTCTGTCCTCTCCATACATCCCTGCGGGGGCGAGGGGGCGGCTGTTTTTGCCTCCAAGGACAAAAGGGGGGAAAAGGGCCTTCTTAGCTCTGTGTGTCTGTGGAGATCTGTACTCAGGGTCAAAGAATCTAACGAACACTTCTCACTTTGGATTGAATATTGGAACCACTTGAAGAGTTCAAACAAACAAAAAACATACTGGTGGCTGAGCTGTAGTCAGTGCTCCTGGAATATTTTTACACTCCCAACTGTTCTTCACCCAAGAAATCTTTATACCACGCTGGGCACATAGGTGTACAAAATATGCGTACAAATTCAATATCGACTGATAATCACGAAAACTATTTTAAAATAATTCCTTGGTCTGTACATAATTTTACCGTTTACAAGATGAAGGTAGATTTGCATGTTAGTGATATAGAAGTGCACGCTTATCTTAAGCAATAGTTACTTGTTTTCAGTTTGCAGGTATGTAGCTGTTTTGCCAGCATGCAAGTGCACTATGCGCATGCCTGGTGTCCGTGGAGGCCAGAAGATGGTGGCCAGGCTCTTGAAGCTGGAGACACAGGCATGCCACCGTGTGGTGCTGGGAACCGAACCCTAGTCCGCCGCAAGAGCCGCAAGTGCCTTTAACCATTGAGCCATCTCTCCAGCCCCATGCTTATTTTTATGTAAATAACTAAATATGGGGCGTTTGATGCTGCAGGACAAAGTGCCTCTTTGATGATGTTTTTTTCAAAACTGGCAGACGCTTTTATAATTGTCAGTCCCGAGCACATCACTTCACATGCTTACACAACACAAAACAACAGGAGAATGTCTAGGGCCAATTTGGTAAATTGTTGGAAATCCCGCCCAATCCCAAGCCAAGGTTCACATTTTTCTGAAGAAAACATTATCAGGCAAACCTGCTCCCTGAGAGCTACACACCAAGATCCTCTGCTGATGCTAAGCTGGGGAGAGGTGGTGGCATGAGAGTGCTTCTTCCTCTCCTTACGTGGGTGATCATATGATCACATGGATGACTGTGGTCATATGACTGTCATATGATCACACGGATGACTGTGGTCATATGACTGTCTTATGATCACATGAATGACTGGTCATATGACTGTCGTTTGATCTCATGGATGACTGTGGTCATATGACTGTCGTATGATCACACGAATGACTGTGGTCATATGACTGTTGTATGATCTCATGGATGACTGTGGTCATATGACTGTCGTATGATCGCATGAATGACTGTGGTCATATGACTGTCGTATGATCACACGGATGACTGTGGTCATATGACTGTCGTATGATCACATGGATGACTGTGGTCATATGACTGTCGTATGATCACACGAATGACTGTGGTCATATGACTGTCGTATGATCACACGAATGACTGTGGTCATATGACTGTCATATCATCACACGAATGACTGTGGTCATATGACTGTCGTATGATCTCATGGATGACTGTGGTCATATGACTGTCGTATGATCGCATGAATGACTGGTCATATGACTGTCGTTTGATCTCATGAATGACTGGTCATATGACTGTCGTTTGATCTCATGAATGACTGGTCATATGACTGTCGTATGATCACACGAATGACTGTGGTCATATGGCTGTCATATGATCTCATGGATGACTGTGGTCATATGGCTGTCATATGATCTCATGAATGACTGTGGTCATATGACTGTCGTATGATCTCATGGATGACTGTGGTCATATGGCTGTCGTATGATCTCATGGATGACTGTGGTCATATGACTGTTGTATGATCTCATGGATGACTGTGGTCATATGACTGTCGTATGATCACACGAATGACTGTGGTCATATGGCTGTCGTATGATCTCATGGATGACTGGTCATATGGCTGTCATATGATCACACGAATGACTGTGGTCATATGACTGTTGTATGATCTCATGGATGACTGTGGTCATATGGCTGTCGTATGATCTCATGGATGACTGTGGTCATATGGCTGTCATATGATCACATGAATGACTGGTCATATGACTGTCGTATGATCACACGAATGACTGTGGTCATATGACTGTCATATCATCACACGAATGACTGTGGTCATATGGCTGGAGAAGAACTTTAGTCAAAGCAAAGGGAATGTCTTACCAGTTGTACATCAAGATCAAAGTGTGTTTTCTTATCTGAGGGGTTCTGACCAAGTCAAGGAATGAAGGGTTCAGTTTCTCGCCGGCATCCTCATCTTCTCTCAGGCTCTAAGAAGGGCAAGGAGGGTGTTTTCTGTTAGAAGGGGTCTCTGGGTTCTAAAGAGAATAGCAGCTGTACTTAATACTGAGTGTCCATCATGGGCTCAGTCATGTGTTATTTAATCTTTACCCGGGAAGTTGGGGTCTGTTTTTCACTCTGTTGTAGAGGTAGGTCACTCACAGCATGTGATCTGCAAGGTACCCTGGGGCACTACAGAGACCCAGCTCTGTGTTCCTGAGTGACCCATCTGGACCAATAGGAAGGAAGCTCAGGTCTGAGACCTGGGCACTGAGACCAGCCCCAGCATCCCCTGGGAGCTCAGTAGGAATAAAGCACCAGGAGGCTGAGGAGATGGCTCAGCAGTTAGAGCCCTTGCTGTACAAGCGTGAGGACTGGAGTTCAGATTCCCCAGAACCCATCTAAACGCTGGGTGGGTGTGGTCACCAGCCTGTGATTCCCAGAGCAAGGTGACTAACAAGCGCCAGAGTTACAGGCAATGCCACACAAAACTCTCATGTAGCTCTGGGAATCGAACCCAGGGCTCCATGCATGCTAGGCAAGCACTCTATCAACTGAGCTACATCTCAGCCCTTGACACACTTTTCCAACACAATCCACTTCTCCTTTCTAGTCCCATCAGATGAAAGGTGGGAGTTCAGAGTGAAGAGATCTGTATACAGGGGAAATCTGAGACGCACACCACATGGCTACATCCCCAATGCTTATAATTCTGTGAAGTGATTTGTGTTCAGAACTCTGCCGTGTGGACCTAGAATCTGACCTGAGAAGCTAGGCATGCAGGAGACAGCGTAATGTTTGCTGAGGCAGAGCGGCCAGCAAAACATTGAGTTGCATAAGGTAGAAACAGCTCCTTCACCGACTTGTTAAAAAAAATCTGGTTTATTTTTGAGTCTGATGTTTGCCATCTTTTCAGTCTCCCAGGGAACACAAATCATATGTAAGAAATATTCTACTGTATTTTACTACAGAGAGGCCAGAATGCTATGAGTGGGCCCCACGCCTCTTGGGTGGGCTGGCTAGTACACCGGCATGTTTTCTGTACCCTCCCTTCTCACTCCTCCCTCCCCCTCCTCCACCAGTTGACACCCAAGGCCTCAACTCACCTGAAAAGATGCAGGCACAGATTTTCCATTTTTCTTAGCAATGTGCTTAATTATCTTCATGGCTCTTGCGTTCTTGTTCTGGGAGATCAGCCATCTTGGAGATTCGGGTATGCACCTAGGGTATAAGGGGACAGGGGAGGGGTACCTTGCTGTATCCCACTGCCAGCTAACACAGGTGAGTTTCTGGGCGCATGTTACTCGGGGAGGTTTGGTTTGGTCCGCTAGGATCTATTAAAATGCCAAGAATGTGAAGCTCTGCCCTCCCTTGGTGCTGACTTCCAGTCAGCCTCTGTCCAGGAAGCCTTCAGGCCTCCTCCTGAGACTCCTAACTGTGACAGCTGCAAGCGAGCTTCGGAGCAGGGTGTCAGCATGATGAGGGGTGGGCTTCTGGGCGAGCCCCAGGCTTTGTGAAGGCCTGAGTGAGAGCTAAGGTCAAGGAAGAGAGGTGGGAGTTGCAAGTCCTCACGGGAAGAAACAAAGGGTGCCAGCTCACTCCTTTTGTTTCAGCTTCTCTGCTCGCCCAAGGCTGGTGGTTCATTCCCTTCCTTCCTTCTTGCATGTGTGTATATGTGTGTTTGCATGTGTGTGGGCACATGTGTATGCCTGAGGCTGACTTCCTTCACCATTTTCCACATTGCTCAATGAGGCAGAATGCCAAAACCTCTCAGCTAAACCCAGAACTTGACAGCATGGCTAGTCCAGCTAGCCATCGTGCTCCAGAGACCCCTGGCTCTGCCTTCCAAGCTCTGAGATTACAGCTGTTCTGCCACACCTACCCAGCATTTACATGGGAGCTGGGGATCTGAACTCTGGTCTTTGCATTTATAGGAAAACACTCATCTCTCCAACACCGGCATTTCTTGAGTTCTGATTTTCTCATCTCCCAACTCTTTTCACTCTCTTACCAATCCTATTTGTTTCCTACGCATGCATGTTACTTGAATTCTGGATCCTTAAATTTCACTGGTCCTGATTACTTGTACATGACCCCCTTTTGGCATCCCAAATTTGACATATCCAAAGCTCAACTCATAACCTAGAGAGAGCCCTTCTAATTTCCTTATTCTTATGAGTGACTCCTCATCAACTTGCTGGTCGGTATGTGTTTTCCTTGGGTAGCAATGATGAATATATCTTACTAGTGTTGGTAACTCTGGTTTTTCAGTATGGTCTATCTGGAGTGCCATGCTGGCCTTATTTGGAATAATTGCTGTTATGACTGATTGGAGATGTCTACCTTGGTTGTGCCTATGGGAAAGCAGCGATATAATCATTTGCCGCTCTGCCTGTCCATCTTAGGGTTTTTGAAAAGGAGTAACAGGATAACAAATGGCAATACTGTTGACTTCTTTCTGCCACCCAAATTGGATCCCAGCTGATGGGAGCAAAGCATTAAATAAGTACTAGGAGATGAAAGAAACAGGCCATAGTATTCCTATGCCCCGAGCTAAAGGACACTGGATTTCCAGTGAGGGACTGTGCAGTTTTTGTTTTAGCAACATGGAACTGACTTCCTGTGACTCAGGCCTGGAGAGTGATGGAAACCTTGTCAATTTCAAGCAGGGTGTTCATGGGGAAGGGAGACTTGGACAAAATAGATAGTTTAGAGGCATCTTTTTTTTTCTCTCTCGTTCCCAGCAGACTTACCAGAAATAGAGCAGGAAGCAGAAGTTGGGCAGGGTCACAGTCAGTTGCAGCCACCTCCAGTGGGGAAGAGCATAGGCCACTCCTGCCAGTATCAGGAGCCCAACGGTAAAGGCGACTTGGTAAAAAATCCCCACTGTTCTGCGATAGCCCAGACCAACAAATTCTGTAACTACAGGAAAGAATCCACATGGTCAGCAAGATGTGCTGGAGCTGGCTTCCAACCTTCAGGTAGCCACAAACGTCCAGCTCAAAAATACAGACTTAACTTAGGATTTTCTGCACAGTTCTTTGAGCAATTTAAAAAGTGTGTGTGTGTGTGTGTGTGTGGTGTGTGTGTGTGGTGTGTGTGTGTGTGGTGTGTGTGTGTGTGGTGTGTGTGTGTGTGGTGTGTGTGTGTGGTGTGTGTGTGTGTATGTATGTGGTGTGTGTGTGTGGTGTGTGTGTGTGTATGTATGTGGTGTGTGTGTGTATGTATGTGGTGTGTGTGTGGTGTATGTGTGGTGTGTAGTAGTGGTGGGCATTTTGTTTGTTTGTTTGTTTGTGTGGTGTGTAGTAGTGGTGTGTGTGTGTCTGTGTGTGTGTGTGTGGTGTGTAGTAGTGGTGTGTATGTATGTGGTGTGTGTATGTGGTGTGTGTGTGTGTGGTATATGTGTGTGGTGTGTGTGTGGTGTGTGTGTGGTGTGTGTGTGTGTGGTGTGTAGTAGTGGTGTGTATGTATGTGGTATGTGTGTGTGGTGTGTGTGTGTATGTATGTGGTGTGTGTGTGTGGTGTGTGTGTGTGTGTGGTGTGTGTGTGGTGTGTGTGTGTGTATGTATGTGGTGTGTGTATGTGGTGTGTGTGTGTGGTGTGTGTGTGGTGTGTGTGTGTGTATGTATGTGGTGTGTGTATGTGGTGTGTGTGTGTGGTGTGTGTGTGTATGTATGTGGTGTGTGTATGTGGTGTGTGTGTGGTGTGTGTGTGTATGTATGTGGTGTGTGTATGTGGTGTGTGTGTGGTGTGTGTGTGTATGTATGTGGTGTGTGTGTGTGTGGTGTGTGTATGTGGTGTGTGTGTGGTGTGTGTGTGTGTATGTATGTGGTGTGTGTATGTGGTGTGTGTGGTATGTGTGTGTGTATGTATGTGGTGTGTGTGTGGTGTGTGTGTATGTATGTGGTGTGTGTATGTGGTGTGTGTATGTGGTGTGTGTGTGGTGTGTGTGTGTGTATGTATGTGGTGTATGTATGTGGTGTGTGTGTGTGTATGTATGTGGTGTGTGTGTGTGGTGTGTGTGTGTGTATGTATGTGGTGTGTGTGTGTGGTGTGTGTGTGGTGTGTGTGTGTGGTGTGTAGTAGTGGTGGGCATTTTGTTTGTGTGGTGTGTAGTAGTGGTGTGTGTCTGTGTGTGTCTGTGTGTGTGTGGTGTGTGTGTGTGGTGTGTGTGTGGTGTGTGTGTGTGTGTGGTGTGTAGTAGTGGTGTGTATGTATGTGGTGTGTGTGTGTGGTGTGTGTGTGGTGTGTGTGTGTGTATGTATGTGGTGTGTGTATGTGGTGTGTGTGTGGTATGTGTGTGTGTATGTATGTGGTGTGTGTGTGGTGTGTGTGTGTGTATGTATGTGGTGTGTGTATGTGGTGTGTGTGTGTGGTGTGTGTGTGTATGTATGTGGTGTGTGTGTGTGGTGTGTGTGTGTGTGGTGTGTGTGTGGTGTGTGTGGTGTGTGTGTGTGTAGTGTGTGTGTGGTGTGTGTGTGTGGTGTGTAGTAGTGGTGTGTATGTATGTGGTGTGTGTGTGGTGTGTGTGTGTATGTATGTGGTGTGTGTGTGTGGTGTGTGTGTGGTGTGTAGTAGTGGTGGGCATGTTGTTTGTGTGTGTGTGTGTGTGGTGTGTAGTAGTGGTGGGCATTTTGTTTGTGTGTGTATGTGTGGTGTGTAGTAGTGGTGGGCATTTTGTTTGTTTGTGTATGTATGTGGTGTGTGTGTGTGGTGTGTGTATGTGGTGTGTGTGTGTGTGTGGTGTGTGTGGTGTGTGTGTGTGGTGTCTGTGTGTGTGTGTGGTGTGTGTGTGTGGTGTGTGTGGTGTGTGTGTGGTGTGTGTATGTGGTGTGTGTGGTGTGTGTGTGTATGTATGTGGTGTGTGTATGTGGTGTGTGTGTGGTGTGTGTGTGGTGTGTGTGTGTGTATGTATGTGGTGTGTGTATGTGGTGTGTGTGTGTGGTGTGTGTGTGGTGTGTGTGTGTGTGTATGTATGTGGTGTATGTGTGTGGTGTGTGTGTGTATGTATGTGGTGTGTGTATGTGGTGTGTGTGTGGTGTGTGTGTGTATGTATGTGGTGTGTGTATGTGGTGTGTGTGTGGTGTGTGTGTGTATGTATGTGGTGTGTGTGTGTGGTGTGTGTATGTGGTGTGTGTGTGGTATGTGTGTGTGTGTGTATGTATGTGGTGTGTGTATGTGGTGTGTGTGGTATGTGTGTGTGTATGTATGTGGTGTGTGTGTGGTGTGTGTGTATGTATGTGGTGTGTGTATGTGGTATGTGTATGTGGTGTGTGTGTGGTGTGTGTGTGTATGTATGTGGTGTATGTATGTGGTGTGTGTGTGTGTATGTATGTGGTGTGTGTGTGTGGTGTGTGTGTGTGTATGTATGTGGTGTGTGTGTGTGGTGTGTGTGTGGTGTGTGTGTGTGTGGTGTGTAGTAGTGGTGGGCATTTTGTTTGTTTGTGTGGTGTGTAGTAGTGGTGTGTGTGTGTGTGTCTGTGTGTGTGTGTGTGGTGTGTGTGTGTGGTGTGTGTGGTGTGTGTGTGTGTGTGGTGTGTAGTAGTGGTGTGTATGTATGTGGTGTGTGTGTGTGGTGTGTGTGTGGTGTGTGTGTGTGTATGTATGTGGTGTGTGTATGTGGTGTGTGTGTGGTATGTGTGTGTGTATGTATGTGGTGTGTGTGTGGTGTGTGTGTGTATGTATGTGGTGTGTGTATGTGGTGTGTGTGTGTGGTGTGTGTGTATGTATGTGGTGTGTGTGTGTGGTGTGTGTGTGTGTGGTGTGTGTGTGGTGTGTGTGTGTGTGGTGTGTGTATGTGGTGTGTGTATGGTGTGTGTGTGTATGTATGTGGTGTGTGTATGTGGTGTGTGTGTGGTGTGTGTGTGTGTATGTATGTGGTGTGTGTATGTGGTGTGTGTATGTGGTGTGTGTATGTGGTGTGTGTGTGTGGTGTGTGTGTGTATGTATGTGGTGTGTGTATGTGGTGTGTGTATGTGGTGTGTGTGTGGTGTGTGTGTATGTATGTGGTGTGTGTATGTGGTGTGTGTGTGGTGTGTGTGTGTGTATGTATGTGGTGTGTGTATGTGGTGTGTGTGTGGTGTGTGTGTGTGGTGTGTGTGTGTGTGGTGTGTAGTAGTGGTGGGCATGTTGTGTGTGTGTGTGTGTGGTGTGTAGTAGTGGTGGGCATGTTGTGTGTGTGTGTGTGTGGTGTGTAGTAGTGGTGGGCATGTTGTGTGTGTGTGTGTGTGGTGTGTAGTAGTGGTGGGCATGTTGTGTGTGTGTGTGTGTGGTGTGTAGTAGTGGTGGGCATGTTGTTGCAGTTACTGCTGTTGTATTAATTATAAACTTGCATTAACTGAACCACGTTAGCAAACTGACTTAGAGAATTACATTAGGCATGAGGCTGGGAATGGTGCCCATTGTATGTAATCCCAGTACTTTACGTTCAAGGCCATTCTGGTCTACACACATGTTTTGTATATAAAAAAAAGAAAATAAACATAGCAACAACATAAAGAGAATTCCAGGGGCTGGAGAGATGGTCCAGAGGTTAAAAGCACTTGTTGCTTTTGCAGAGGACCTGAGTTCAGTTCCCAGCATCCATGTTAGGTAACTCACAACCACCTCAAACTGTAACTGCAGTCTCAGGGGATCTGACACCATCTTCTGGCCTCCATGGGTACTTGTTCATGTGTGGCATACACACGTGTATACACATAAATAAAAATAAAATAAAAATATTTTTAAATTTTCAAGGATGAATGTAATCATATTTCACACAAATGTATGATTTTCTTCTTTATCAATCAGGCAGTGATAACTCAAGGCATGAACAAATGAATTAGAAAGCTGAGTTTGTGTCATAGATGATTCATACATAAATGAACATTTACATGCAAGTTGTCCTCTTACAGAGATAAGTGCTTTGCAATTCTGTTTATTTATGTAAAGGACTTAGAGACCCTTCAATGGGCTGGAATCAGCTAGTACTGGCTTGTAAAAAAATTCATTTAAAATTTTCAAAAACTTTGCAAATGAGTCGTTAAATACAAATCTATTTTGAAACCTTCGAGGTGGGAGTAGCAAAGGCATAGGAAGCAGAAAAATACATCGAGGACTCGTTATGCCCTTTGAGAAGCAAGTTCCCAGCCACCGTTTTATGTGGCTTTATTTATGCTGCATGTCTGCATCATGACAGGCATATGGGGTCTGTACGGAGGGAGCTAGGAGCTGTCTTCACATGACAGACATGCTAGAATTGGAATTTCACAAGCCATAGTGTTCACTTTAAAGGCCTCACAGGTCTGGGAAGGATTTTAATTATATCTAATCCAACAGATGAGCATGTTAAACCTACTTCTCTAAGTTACTGCAAACCATCTAAAATATTCTAAAATGACTGATTTAATTAAATAAGATGGTGCAGGTCTTCCACACATGCAAGTGTCTTGTCTTTCAAAGTGTCTGGGGTCCTGGATGATGCTTGGAAGATGTGGGGGTCAGGGTGGGGAGGAGTCACCAGGAAGACATCAAAGATTCAAGGACATCCTTGGGGACTTTTGAAGAAGTGAGTGGTAAGAGGTTGCAGTTAATGGCAAAATGTCCACCTGCATAATTGAATTCTACTCAGTATGTTCTAGAAACCAAATTATTGGTTGGATAGCTACACGTATTAAGTCCCTCATCAACCAACCACTCATTTTATGTCTTTTTTTGGAGGTGATAATGTTCTCTTCATGCACTGAAATACCCCAGATTCATATTACCAGGGATCAGGATGTAAGCCCATGTTCTGTTTACCTCTTGGCCAATGAAAGCTTCCATCTTATCCCTTAGTTCCAAAGTGACTGGTTCCCAAATGTGGCCAAAAGGACATGATCTAGGAGATTTCCAGATTTAGCTAGGGGATGATTTTTCACAACTGCTAGACAGACATGTGCTGTGGAAGTCAAGCGTGCTGTTGTGCCTCAAGGACCTTAGTTGTGACTCTGGCTGCTAGTGAGAAAAGTCTTCCCCTGATTTGACAGTTCACTTTCTATTTTTCTTTTAGTCCAGGACCCCGCTCATAGAATGGTGCTGCCCACAGTGCCTGGGTTAGCCTACCCCAGATAATCTCTTACAGGCACGTAAGGCCTTTCTCCTGGGTGACTCTAGCTCTTGCTGCATAACCAGGGTCTGCCACCATGCCCGTGTCCTCCCCTTCCTTGTGTGTGAGTTCAAGTGGTTTACTGGAATAGATGAAATACAGCAATAAATTCCCTTGCGTTCCAAGCATAGCTCTTATCGTGGAGTCTTCTTCCTGAATAGGTTTGGCAGGCTGGACTTTCTCTCCATATAACACCCCGGGGTCCAGAAACCAAATTTTCCAAGAAAGCTAAACTGAGTGGATTGATTGGGTGTTTTTTAAAACTCCTTAGGTGTGGAATAAAAAAAAATCAGTTCTGTCTTTTTCCTGTCTTTCCACCTGCCTGAAGGTCCCCGTGTTTACCCAGAAGCACGTCAAGCTGTCTTACTCAGGATGTAGCCAATTAGCCAGCCTGCTTTGCTGACCAGTCCCTGGAGCAAACGAAACACCAGCATCCAGGCATAGTTGGGGGAAACTGCCATGAGAACCCCGGAGGTAGCATTGATGAGGACAGTGACCAGGAGGCAGAACTTCCGGCCAAACCTATAGAGAAGAACCAAGAACGGGCGTGGGGTTAGGTGGTGTGTTAATTACTTCCCCTAGCACTGTGACACAAACCTGGTAACAGCAGCTCACAGGTGGAAGAAAGGGTTCATTTCAGCCTGCAGTTCTAGGGTGTAGCACATCACAGGGGGGCAGTCGGGGCAGCTTAAGGCAGCTGGCCACATTGCCTCTGCAATCAGGAAGCAGAGGGCAGAGGATGGCGGTGCTTGGCTCCCATTCTCCTTCTAGTTAGTCCAGGACCCCAGCTCACAGAACGGAGATACCCGCATCTTCCCTACCTCAATCCTCCAAGTCTATATAACCCCTCCCAGGCACGCCCAGACTTTTTATCTTCCAGGAGATCCTAGATCCCAACAAGTTGGCAGCATTATCCATCATAGTTGGATTCATGGAAGTTGGAGAAGATTCGTGCATGGTATCAAAATATGGTCAAAATCTGGGGTCAGTTTTTTTTAAATTTTATGTGTATGAGCATTTTACCTGCCTGCAGTATGTTTACCATACGCGTGCCTAGACCCATGGAAGTCCAAAGAGGGCGCTGTATCCCTCAGAAGTAGAGTTACGGATGGTTGTGAGCCACCTTGTGGGTGCTGGGAATTGAACCTGGGTCCTCTCTGCGAGAGCAAAAAGTGCCCTTAACTGATGATTCACCTGCCCAGTTGTCCCTGCCACTGCTTTTTAAACATGTGATCTGGGGATAGAATTCAGACCCTCAGACTTGTAGGGCAAGCGCTTTCCCTCCCGAGCCATCTCTCTAGCCCCTGAAATAGATCTTAGAAGACTGAGTTGTCGCGAGTGAGCCTGACTCCCAAATGGCTGTCTGTGTCTGCTTCATGATGTGATCTCTTTCTCCCACACAGTTCCTTCGCCATGCTGCTACCTGTCGCAAGATGATGCCAATGACATCCCCTGGGATGTCCAGAACTATCAGCTGACTAACGCCACTTCCTTTACAAAGTCACCCAGCCACAAACATCACATCATAGCGATAGAAAAATAGCTGGCTGTCCGAGTGCGGGCGTGGGGGGTGGTGCTCAGTTACTTCCCATCACGCCCTCCTGGTTGGGTTCTAAAAGATAGCCTCTGTTAGTGAATATTGTCTAATAGCTCATAGGAGACAGAGCTGTATCTAATACACATATAGCATGTGTTTAACTGAGGTCAGTGTTTGTCGTCAGGGTTGCACGTTCTCATGGTAACCCAGTACGCGATAGCCGCAGTCTCCTAATGTTGGACAGCTGTGTTCTAGGGAGGATCCCAGATATTACCTAGCCATCTGAAAATGATCCACAGCATTGTTAATGGTTACTCTGGGATGGTACTGTTTGCTGTGGGAGATCTGAAGTCCACGCTGTCTCTTTAGTCGTTAGTGTAAATTGCTGGGCCACAACGGCTTCAACTGTGTCACTGCCAGGCTCTGCATGGGCGGCGCCCCACTGTGATCTGTGACTCTGGGGCTTCAGGGTCAGGCTTGCCAAAGGGACATGCCGCTCATCCTTCCGTGCTTCCTCCCGTTTTCACCAGGCAGGCTTCTCTAACCTCCTGATGCTGTGACATGGCGCTGCATCACCTGCAAAGTTTATGCTCGAGAACTAAGCAATGAAGGTGTTTTAAAGGAAATCTCGCCACAGGGCTGAGGAGACAGCTCTTTAGGTGAGGATCTCGTGCCAGGCACAAGCACCTGTATTTGGATGTCCAGCATTACACACAAAGCCGGGTGTGGTGGCACCTGCTGTTGGGTGGATGGGGGAGCAAAGGCAGGTGATCTCCAGGGCTTACTGGCCAGACAGCCTGGTTGAAACAGCAAGCTTTGGGTTCAGTGAGAGACCCCCATTTCACACACACACACACACACACACACACACACACCTCGGTGTTTTAAGTAAATTCTGTGTATTAAGTGCATTCTGCGTGGGGCTACCTCCATAGCTGCTCTTGGCTACAAGTGGAGTATGGGCCATGGGCTGGACACACCTACATCCCTTTCCTCACAATTTATAATCTGTAAATATTGACTCAAGTGGCAATTCCTCAGCACCTAGTAGATTTGGACTCACGGTAAAGCCTCAGCGACGTTGCTTAAGGACAAAATCCTTTGGCTGGAAGAGGGAAATGCATTACTAACACCTCCAAGTAGGGAAACTAAATCCACGTTACAGAGACACTGCAACCATCCCAGTCAAAGAGGCAGGCAGTGCCTTTCTTTTAAGACACTTTGGAGGTCTGAATGAGTGGCTTGAGATGCCCTTCTTCCACCAACACACACACCATGGCCACCACTTAAATTACTTGATGAGGAACAGATGGAACCAGAGTGTCTGGGCACCAGTTTGGAGTGTCCTTTAGCTGTCTGCTGTCTAGGATAGAGCCCAGGATCTTCTTCATGGGGGGGTGGCGAGTAGGTGATGGGAATTATTTGGGAGCCTGGTAAATATGCAGAGCCTCAGGCTCACCCAGATGGATTGTAGCTTGACTTACAGCAGAATCTGGGTTGACGAATATGGTCATTAATACCTGGGAAGAGGTGCTTTGATTCCATCCTGCCTCGGTTTCCTTCTCTGTAGGTAGGCTTTGGGAAAACAACTAGAGAGACATCGAAAACCTTCAGGGAGGCAAAAGGACCAAGAGCTTTCTAGAGATTGCCTGCATAGGATGAGCTCACTTGAGGAGGAGGGGAGCTGGGGGGCAGTGTGTGTTGGTCTCTGGAATGTGCTGTGGGGAGGCGTTGGAGCTGGCCTCCTTGAGTGGGATGAGAATCATTAACTGGCTTCTGCAGCCTACTGGGTGAGGCTGTCACCTGTGCACATGGAGATCTGGTGTTAATGTCCACCTTGGTGTACCAGGGAGTGGACGAACCACCAGGAGCTGCCTCGCCAGTGGCCAGTGAGCGTGACTGGACCCTGGACCTCCTCATTAATGTGCCTGTCTTGACATTACGGGCAGCCTGTGAATAGCCACCCTCAGTTCTGTGTGATCAGGATAAAAATGAAATCACTTCCCCAAACACACACACACACACATACACACACACATACACAGACACACACACATATACACACACACATACACACACATACACACACACACACACATACACACACACACACCCTTCACAACCTCCCACAGTCAGTCCCTGGAAGAGCCTAGCCGGGCAGGCTGAGCAGACAGTTACAAATGCATTGTGAGTTTTGGCACAACGCCTCCACCTCCGTCCATCCTCCCTCCTGCTGCCAACGGAGCCCTGGGCTCTTGTAAAGTCAGTACATTCTTAGGAACCTTCAATTTAATCAAAGAAAGCTGTCACACATTTAGATTATAGTCACAGCAGAGAGATAGTTGGGGAGGCCCAAAATGGCAGTGAGTGAGCACGGGACTGAGTTGCCACATATTTCTGAGTCAAATATGTACTTTTACAGGCTGATTGTTTAATACGGCCATTATCGAAATTTAATGTACGCTGGTAATTAAATGTCATCAAAAAAGTGCAATAAACATAAAAATCAGATCCTTTCCTACTTGTGTTACTACATCTGATTATCTGGGGGCTATTTGCACCCAATGCATGTATGTGACATAGAAATGCTATTTCTTGCCATGTCTGTCTGTATATATACAGATGTATCATCATAGTATGCACACGAATACACAGGTGCCCACCATTGTGCTATTAGGTGACTGGCAATTAGAGTGGTACCGTCCAGGTCATAGAGTTTGAGTTCCTGACTTACAGAAGGCACTCTGCAATGGAGGCACTATGTATACTGTTATCACGGACTCTGATGGCCCAGGTATCTACAGTACTCCTCGGATCTCTGTTACTCTCTCTGTTGAGGACTCCACTTACTAGCTAAGGGTCATCTATGGAGCAAAGGAGTTTGTTATAAAGAAATTCCTTGACTTCGTTCCTTATACGCAACAGGTAAATGTAGCCCTCATCCTTTATCTAAGAGGAAGCTTCTCTCCTTAGCAAATGGAGAGTCTTGAAGGAAACTACAACTGGACACAATGCCAAGTTCAATGGGTTGTGGGGCACCCAGCCCCAGGGGTTACACCTGCAGCACAGCTCCCGCATCTGTGCCTGGGGAACAGAGGGAGAGGCCTGTAAAGACTGTCAGAGCCGGAGAACCAGGAAGTCTAAAGTCTGCTGTGTGACGGCCTCTTAGAAATGGCTGCAGAAACAAGACATGGGCACTGACAATATCAACACACATGCTAACTCGGAAAGGGGAAACTCTCGCAGGGCCCATACCTAGACAAAGAGCTATAAGCAGCAAATGCCTGGTAAGAGGGTGAGAATTTCCCAGGGATGAACTCCTTGATTGGTTATCCAGGTCAGCCCTGAAACCACATACAGACGACAACAACAAGCAGGCTATATTTATATATTGTTCATATGTATGTATATGTATTTTGTATATGTGTGTGTAACAATAATAATCAAAGAAAAAGAAGAGGCTGTCAGTTCAAGAGTTGGGAGCATTGGAGGGAGAAGAGGGGAGGGGTAGAAAGGGAAAAATAAATGAATAAATAAAATGCAAAAATATGAACATTAAAAAGAAAACTTTTGTACAGTGAGCAGGAGTCCACAATGGTGGGTACCCAGAGCCAGAGCACAGCTTGGACACTACAGACACTGAATGTGGACAGACAGACAGACAGACAGGCATAGAGCCTACTGATGGGGTCTCTGCTGTATGAGAATTAGCTGGCCTGGATGGAGCTCCCAGCTCATGACCATGTGGGAGACAGTGAGGCCAAAGAATAAACTGAGAATCACAAGTGGGATTAAGTCATTTGTTGCCTCTTCCAGGACCGAACTGGTAGATAGCCCATAAGAAAAGAGCCTTCCTGGTGGTTGAAACCTTGCCTGACCTCCAGAGGATCTGAGAGTAAAACATGAGTCATCGTTATCAAAGCAGCTGAAAAAAGCCCAGGATTATGAGAGTAACCAAGGCTAGGGTGGGTGGGAGTGAGTGGTCTGTGTGTTTGGGGCAAAGAAGGACTCGGGGTGGGTGAGCCCAAGCGCTGTCTGGACCTGTAGGTTACTTAAAAAGCCCTGCAGGTGTCTCACCTACCTGTCTGCTAGGTAGCCAATCCCGACAGCACCGATGAAAAACCCCACGTTTACTACGGACTGAAACAGGTCCAGCATCCAGGAGTGAGCACACACTAGGTTAAACTGTCCAGAGGTGGGGTGTGGTCCAAGCCGGGAGAGGAGCAGGAGGGAGAGAGGGGGGAAGATGCTGTTAGAATCTTGTTAGACTCAGTCCAGCCCAGAGATTTCTTTGAATAGTCTGAACTGGGAGTTCCTGGGAGCTCCAGGAGTTCAGCTAATTAGCGCGTGGTAGTTACTTGAATATTTCTTGAACCGAGTGCCAGTAACCCAGCTGTTTCCTAACCCATGCTAATTTTCTATATGCCAGCAACAGATTTTCCCCTGGAATCCATTTAACATTCCATCTGACAGTGTGAGTCCAGCATTTGGCTCTATCAACTGAAGTCAAGTAGTGGCTTGACTTACAGGCAAGTCTGTCTTCTCCCTTCTAGTTGAAAGACACAGAGGCGAGTGGAGGTAGTCACATGACATACCTGTACAGCTAGGGACAGTGAGCTTTAGGCATCTGTTAGCTGTCTTTTATTTTAAAACAATAGGGGGACTTCCAGGTGTACTCCCAATGATCAATACATTTTGGCTGATTTGCTCCAAAGGCAGGTAGAGGAGGGTGAGCAGTGCTGGCCAGCAGACAAGATACGGTCTTTTAACCTCACTCTGCCATCTTATTCTGCAGCCTGGTGCATAAGCCAGTTCCCCCACTCTGGCCTCAGATGACTCGAGTCACTCTGCAGAGCTGTTTTAGAGTGGCATGATGTCTGTTCCAGATCCCCAGACGAGGCTCCTTCGCTAAAGGCTCAGGACCCAGGCGGCCCTTTCCAGCTGCTGAATTGCTTCCTCTGTGCTTGCAGGACAATTCCATAGTAAGTTTCCACACTTGCCTTTCTCTTCGGGGAATGAGGCTTCACTTAGATCATATGTATGCGTGTATATGCTTGCGTTCATATGTGCATAGGCATGCACATGTGCCAGAGGCAGCCCTAGCCATTCTCCTGATTTTTTTTTTTTTTTATGGAGATGGGGCCTCTCATTGGTCTGAATCTGGCCAACTAGGTTTGGCGGGCTGGCTAGCAAGCCTCAGGAATCCACCCGTCTTTGCCTCCCAAGTGCTCCCAAGTGATCACACGCACACACCTGGCTTTTTTTTCCTACGGGTTCTGGACATTAAAGTCAGGTCCTCAAGCTTACAAGGCACGCAGTTCACCTACTGAGCCACCCCCTCAACCCATGCCTGTATCTTTTAAACCACTTTCATTATCATTGCGTGTGTGTGCATATGTGTGAGTGGGTGCGCACGCGTCACTGCACGCGTGTGGAAGTTAGAGGACACTTTGCGGACCTGGTTCTCGCCTTCCTCTTTCCCAGGGGGTTGGGGCTGGCTTTTGGTTGTCAGGCTTGCATGGCAAGTACTTTGGCCCCTAAGCCACCTTCCCTGCCCCTGTGACTCTACATTTTTTTTTTCCGAGACAGGGTTTCTCTGTGGCTTTGGAGGCTGTCCTGGAACTCGCTTGGTAGTCCAGGCTGGTCTCGAACTTACAGAGATCCATCTGCCTCTGCCTCCCGAGTGCTGGGATTAAAGGTGTGTGCCACCAACGCCCGGCGTGACTCTACTTTTTTTTTTTAATTTTTTTATCATTTTTTATTTTAATTTTAAATAGCTTGTTTTACATGTCAATCCCAGTTCCCTCTCCCTCCTCTCCTCCCGCACTCCCCTTCCCCCCTCCCTCCCACCCTACTGCCAAATCCTTCCACATAGGGGATATCTAGAGTCTGTCATTTTACTCTTGATAGGGTCCAGGCACTCCCCTAAGAGTCCAGGCTGAGAGAGCATCTCTCTTTGTGCTATAGGCACATGAAGACAGTTTGTATACCAGGGATAGACACTGATCCACAGCTCAGGGCCCCATAGGTTGCCCAGGCCTTCTCACTGACACTCACATTTGGGGGGTCCAGATCAGTCCCATGCTGGCCTCCCCACTGTCGGTCTGGGGTCCAAGAGCTCTCCCCTGTTCAGATCAGCTGTCTCTGCTGGTTTTGCCAGCCCATTCTTTGCCAATTTGCTCATCACTCCTCTCTCTCTGTCACTGGGTTCCTTGGGTTCAGTTCAGTGATTAATTGTGTGTTTGCCTCTGCTTCCATCAGTCACAGGATGAAGGCTCCCGGATGGTTATAGACATCAAGTTCATTATCAGGAATGGGCATTCGAGGTGGTCCCTCCACTATTGCTTAGCTTGCCAATTGGTGTTATCCCTTTAGATCACTCGAGGTCACTCTGGTGCCTGATCTGTCTTCGATCCTATGATTCCCTCTTCCCCCTATTCTACCCCCACCCCCTCAACTTCCTGTTCCCCCATGACCAACTCCCTTCCTCTTCACCCCCTCTCTTCTTCCCAGGTCCCACTCCCCCACCCCTCACCGTGTTTTAATAAAAATAGTTGTCCCACAGTCTAACCCCAAAGCTTCCTGTGGGCACTTTGACCACACTGAAGATGAACATATATCTCTGTTAGCAGAGCATAGGTCAGGGAGGGCCACACTCCTTTTGGTGGCCCTTGCGTGGTGTGGTAGAAGCACGCCCGCATCCGTCATCGTTTTCCGACCTCCCGATGTGTGTTTGCTTGTTGCCTGTTGCTGAGATCCGCACATACCACATCACCCCTGTCAGCATCCAGGGAGTTCTCACTAAATACCTCAGACGAGGGAAAGGCTGCATGTTTTACCAGGAAACTAAAATTTTATAAGGCGTATGAGTCCAAAAAAGCATGTCCGGGCAAGTATAGGAACCGTGTGTTTCCTAGTTCTCCTGTAACAAGGTCAATTATTGGCTTTTTTCCATCCTGATTCCTAAGCTCACTTACCTCGGTGACGATGGAGGAGCCAGGAGTGTCGTACACCCAGCCGTGCCGGCAGGGGCTCAGGGGCAAGTGGCTCCTGTTGGCCGCCAGGCTGGACAGGGGGTCCACACAGCCAAGGGTGCTCTGGTTCCAGTCCACCTCGTACTGCATGCACTGGCTGAGGAAGGAGGCCCCGTGCGCAGAGCCCGGGCCCGGCACGGTGTAGTTCAGCTCCTCAGCCGGGCTCCAGCCACAACGCTGGCTTAGCTCGGCCACCCCAGGACTCCGGCAGCGGTGGTCAGGGGTGAAGCCCAGGAAGACGATGCCCACGTAGATGGGAGTGAAGGCACCTGACAGCAGAGCTAAGAGAAAAAATGTCTGTTTCTGGAAAAGGTGGAATTCCCCTATGTGTTCTAGAATATCATCCACCGTCGGCATGGTTCCTGGAGGCAGCTGGTCCTGAGGTTTCGCCTGCAGGACTCCAAATGCTGCTGAAGGCGGCCACGGTCAGCTCAGGACGACTCTTGACCAGGAGTCAAAGGGTGAGCGTTAGTTTACTTTAAAGAGGGACCAGCCTTAGGGTCAGACTTTCCTTGGGCAGGCCAACTTCCAACCACACCTCTCCAACGGGAGAAGATCTTGCTGCCCGGAAATGCCCAGAGCAGGCCCTGGAGTGTGATGTGTTTACTGTAACCTCATTCTCTGTGAGTCCGTCCTGCACTACAAACAATCCCTTCTCTGTATCCCACGGGGAGAAATCCGAGTCCCTTAGCATATCACAGCTGGTTAATCTTTCCCCAGCACGTGAAGTGACCTGAAAATTAATACATCCTCATGTCGCCTACACAGCCAGCCTCTCCTACAAGGTGTGACAGAGATGGCTTATGCATTTGGTTATGCATGCCCAACGCAATGTGCACCAGGGTCTGGGGTCACCTCCGAGCCCTCAGCGTGTTCCTGATGCCTCTGAAAGCAATGCACTTGAGTGGCGTGCTGTGGCGGTTTGCTTTGATTTCCCTCAGACTGAGTCACTCTGCCTTTTCAAAGGGTTCGTCCCAGTCCTTCCAACCCCGACCTGTCCTTCCTCTTCATCCACTTGTGAGGAAAGAATAACACATTTGTCACACATATAGGTCAAGTGCTAACGCAAGGCATGGGCGTATTTGTTCCGTTGTCACTTTTCTGTTGTTCTAGGTTATCACGTCTGTGTTAGGGGTTGGGGATGCTCCTTTAGAATGCTGGCGAGGGCATCCAAGCACAATGGAAATAGGCAGCGGTCTTTCCTGCCGGGCAGAAGGATCTCGGGGCACTGTGATGTTACCTAGCAAAGCAGAGAAGGGTGGCCTGCTGACAAAGCTGCATGATAAAACAGGAATGCAACCTCTGTCTATCTGTCTGCCTGCCTGTCTGCCTGTTTCCCCCTGTCTGTCTGCCTGTCTGCCTGTCTATTTCCCCCTTTCTCTCTGTCTGTCTGTTTCCCCCTTTCTCTCTGTCTGTATGTCTGTCTGTTTCCCTCTTTCTCTCTGTCTGTCTGCCTGTCTTTCTATTTCCCCCTTTCTCTGTCTGTCTGCCTGTCTGTTTCCCCCTTTCTCTCTGTCTGTCTGTCTGTTTCCCCTTTCTCTCTGTCTGTCTGTCTGTTTCCCCCTTTCTCTCTGTCGGTCTGTCTGTCTGTCTGTTTCCCCTTTCTCTCTGTCTGTTTCCCCTTTCTCTCTGTCTGTCTGTCTGTTTCCCCTTTCTCTCTGTCTGTCTGTCTGTCTGTTTCCCCTTTCTCTCTGTCTGTCTCCCCCTCACTCTCTTCCCCTCCTTTTGCTTTCCTACCTCTTTTCTCCTCCCCCCTTCCTCCCACTCCTCCTCTTGTGTTAAATCATTAGTGGGCATGGCAGGTCAGTCCAAAGGCAGTGACCCATGGCAGGCCTCCTCCCTCAAGCTGCTGGCTGGACATTGGTGTGGATGCCTGTGACAGCCTCCAGTGGCCTCCAAAAACTGCCTGGGCCCCTGAAGCCCCTTGGCCATCTGCTGAGTGAGTGGGTTCAGAGCCATTTAGGGATTTCCTCAGTGGTGTCCAGACATCCTAAGTGAGTACGTCAGAAGCTGAGGCCACGTCTATTAATCACTGGGCAGCCTGTGGGAGTGGGCTAGTTACAAAAGCAACTATGATCGTCAAGCCTCCCTCTGTATCTAGGGACCAGACGTGGTCCTGACTGCCTCCTACTAGGAAATTCACAAGCACTCACACCTGTGATTGACTCATGGGTACGGTCCATATCAGGACGCCAGATCTTCATGCCCGTGAGCAAGAGGCCTCCAGGTGAGAGTCAAGGCGAGCACCCCGTGCCAAGGAGCGATGTTGAAATCCATCCTGAACTAGAGGAACCATCAGATAAGGCAAGCGCTCAGATCACTTACGGGACCGGCTCCGCAGTCATTCGACACGTTTCCACTGAGACGTTAACACAGAAATAAAACACAGAGCTGGACAGCTGTAAAATCAATGCTATTTGGTGACAGACTAGAGGACAGTCGAGTCATAGAGGTAAGCAACAGTTCCATGGTGCCCCATGGGGGAAGCCACCACTAGGAGCTACCTCAGTGTTGGGCATTTCAATCTGGGCATCTTGCGTCCTTGTCACGTTATTTGTGGGCCATTTGCATATTCAGAAATGTGACCTGAGGGTAATCTTGGGTGTTGATCATTTAATCCACACAAATGGATCATTTCTCGTAATCAATGGCAGAAGTATTTCTTAATCATCTATCAGGTTCCTTGTAACATAGATAAAACGTTGTCCCCAGGTTTCTGTCCTCTGTCAGTACTGCAAGTGACGGCCTGCAGTCATGCCAACCTCAGTTTCCCCAGATTCTCCACACCAGAGGGCAGGGCTAGTCCGAGAAGGAAGTTAGAGTCGATGAGGCCTTTCCAGTGGCCGGCCAGGCCACAGGCACTGGAGAGACAAAGGGCACAGCATAGATAGGAGGGCGTGGGGGTCACTGGTCACACAGGCTTCAGGAGATGGTGTCTGATATCTTGGCATCTATGCGCCCCTTAGCCACTTGTAGTCAGCCGAAGCAAGGATGATGGGAACAGATGTCCTCACAGAGACAGAGACTGTGTCATTCATCATCACAGCAAACAGCGTTGACACCAGAGGGCTAAGTCGGGTCAGGAAGGACGCAATAGTCCAGCTCTGGCCCCATATACAGCCATGTCACCAGGAACGCTCTTAACATCCTCGGTAAACTTGGTGGCCCCACCCGAGTCAGAGCTGATGTGTGCGACCACACGGGACTCAGCGGTTGGTTTGCAAGTCAGTAGACATTCAATCCCACACTCCACCCTTCCTCTCTCTCTCCCGTCACACCCGCCCCCTCTTCCTCCAGGACTATCGCAGCCAGGTGAGCCAGCAGATGGGCACAGCCTCTGACTCAGAACTATGGACTCATTAGGCTGTCGGGTGTGACTTATGGCTGGAGGAAGCTTCTTTGTGGTGTATCAGGATTGATCTTCTAGAACTTTCCACTCACTGGCACATTATTCTCCCAATGCAGGCTGAGTAAAATGCTTTCCTATGTGGAAGTTCCACTAGCTGAAGCCCTCAGAATCTTGCTTCTCCAGAGCAGGCATTGGTGCTTCTCCACAGCCATGTAGCAGTCACGGTGCAGCTGTAGGGTAGCCATGGTGGGGTGGCCATGGTGGGGTGGCCATGGTGGGGGGGGGTAGCCATGACATGGCCGTGGGGCATCTGTGGGATGACTGTGGGGTGGCTGTGGGGTGGTCTTGGGGAAGCTGGTAGGTCGGCCATGGTGGGGTCGGCTGTGGTGTAGCCATGAGGTGTCCGTAGGGCCTCCGTGGGGCGTCTGTGGTGGGGCAGCTGTAGGCTGGAATCTGCCTGTCTCCACCTCCCCAGCGTTGGGATGACAAGTGTGCACCATCGCATCTGACGTTTCGTGTGGGTTCTGAAGTATGAACTCGGGTCTTCATGCTTGCACAGTAAGCACTTTGCTTGGCCATCTCCCAAGCTCCTGACACACTTTCTCATTGAGGTACTACAGCAAAAAAAAAAAAAAAAAGAATAATTTAGATGGGGAAAAAGTTCCCACCTGTCCATATTGTATTCAAAGTTGAAAAACCCCATTTCTCTGGTCCATCCATAAAGATGATTTTGAAGAAAAAAAAAACTCCCTTTCTATATTTAACGAATGCCACCGAATATGTTTTGCTATAAACAAAGGCAATTGTCAGTTTCTTTTCCTATTGCTGTAATGAAATATGCTGACATAAACAACTTAAAGAAACAAGGGCTTATTTTGGTCAGGGGTTCAGTGCATCATGGCATGGTGACAGGGATAGGAAGCTGGCTGGTTACAGAACCCCAGATTCAGAAAATGACTCTTGGAGATAACAATGGCCAGTAGACTAGGACTCTTGATGCGTGACCCCTACTCACTGAGGTACCAGTACCCTTGGTGCGTGACCCCTACTCACTGAGGTACCAGTACCCTTGGTGCGTGACCCCTACTCACTGAGGTACCAGTACCCTGGGTGAAGACCTGACTTGGGCTAGAATGTGACAGAAACTTTTTTGTGCTTTATGAAAGTGAGGGCGTTTACTTTGTGTAAAGAAGCTGAGTTTCCTTTGTCCAGATGTTTTTATGGAGATAGAAATCACATCTGTCTGCAGGAACATTTACCCTACTTGGTGCTGGAAACTCATGCCCAATGACAAACTCCCAAGGAAACTCATAGATGGTAAGGTAAGGGCATATGGAATCCAGGTGGGAGCTTCTAGGAAAATGGGGGATGTTTGGACAGGCTCTGTGTGGAGCAGCTATATCCCCTTTACCTGCTTTTGTTATAGGGATGGGCGTTGCACCTGACTGGTCGCTCGAGTCCACCACCCTTACCATATTAAGCAGACATGCCTGAGCTCCACGGTGTTGGCTAGGAGCTAGGGTGCTGGTGTAGACAAAGTCTGTGTGGTGACCCTTTGTAGAGCATTGTTGGGGGCTTAGGGCCAAACTCTGCATCTCCCAGCAACGACGACCGGACTTTGCTGGACAGGGTTAGCTAGCTTCCCGTGAGACATTAATTGAAGCTACTGTGAGCATTGAAGACTCATAACCGGAAACACCCACGATGTCTTGGGTGGTGTCAGAGACATTTTCTCCTAGGGCGGAGGTACCCAGGGAGTTCCACAGGAAAGAGTAGCCAATTGGATTTCATGAAGGCAGAAGGGAAACAGAAGCACGGAGCACTCCCACCTCAGGACTGACTGGGAATGCAGTACTCAAGCGTCACTCTGACGGTGCTCTGCATACGTCTGTCAATCAACCATCTAGGAGCTTCTTAGTTCACGGGTGCCAGTTCCAGGGTGAACAGATGACATTTGGATGGGCATCACTCTAAAGACAAAGCAGAAGACAATTAAGAAAACAAACTATCCTGATGGGCTGCATTGTACGTCCAAGAATTCAGCAGTGGTAAAGGGCCTGTGTTTGGGTTTTACAGCCTTGTGGGTGGAGACCAGTGGCCAAATGGGTAATCTAACAAGAGCTATTTATATGGCACACAATCTAATTGGAATTATCATGGCAATGTTGTGGGGGTATGTCAAAATAGAACATGTTGGTGCCCATCAGAAGAACCCCCTTCCAGGCTCAAAAGGTACCCGTGGCCCACAAGCAGACATCATTGTGTGTTCTCTTATGGTGACTACCTAGTCCCTGAGATGAGTTTAATGCTGACAGCCCCAGCAAGGCCGAGATTCAGTGAATGAGAACACGTTGGTCCTGTAGCCTCTGAGGCACAAAGTGTGGATAAGAACTGTACCGTCTGCCGCCAAAAGACGGGACGTTTGATGGCTCTGGGTAAGACACTGGAAAGGGTTAGCAAGTCTGAGAGATACTAGAGATACCCTAGGGGCTACAAGTGGGTCTTGTCCAGGAGTGGACCCTGACTCTGGGCTGCACTTCACGTACCTCAAAGACGCAAGTACTCAGAATGTTACTGGGAAATCACAAGGGGAGTCAATGCACCGACTTGAGAAGTTAGTCCTTTATTTCAGTGGGCAGAAAGAAGGCCATCCTCCTGCGAGTGATAACTTGACAAAGCAGCCGCACAGGCAAATTGAGACACTGATTGCTTAACATAGGGAGATGAGCTGAAGGGCTGGCTCGCACCTTGGCAAGTGTGTGCTCACACACAGCGTGAGTGCTGCCGATGGGCAGTCCCCGCTCGCTCATCCTCCGTCTCTCTGGGATACCGAAGGAGGATGCTAGCCTGGCTGTTGTTGCTCAGGATGAGCACAATGTTGTCGTGAGCATGCCGCGGTCTTCCTTTCTTCCTCACGTCACGCCAACCGTAGAGTGTTTGGGTTTCACCACGGAGTGAGGGCTGAAAGCAAACATGGTGCCTAAGCAGCTGTCTAGGCAGAGTCTCTCAGGGCCCGGTGGCTTGGGCTGTGCTGTGCCTGCACCCCCATCTGGCAAAGTCTGAACCAATGCTGAACATGACTTCCTAGTCTGTAGGGCACACGCGTCATTAACTCCCTGCTCATGCCCGCCCTCACCTCGGAATCGGAGTGGATGGGTGGGAAGCCCCTCCTAGACCAGGATCACTACCTACAGTCCAGACCAGCACGGATCCTAATGGTCCCTTCACAGGTGGAAAGGTCTGGGTATTTAAAAAAGTGATATCTGGGGTTGTAGCTCAGCAGTACGTAGGTGTGAAGCCCTAGTTTAAATCACAAGCACTGAAAATAAAACAAAATCAAGAGTAAAAACGAGAAATGTTCATGGCGACTGCAGGCAAAGGAATAAGTAAATGGATTATGTAAAGGAGAGCCCATACCTCGAGACTGGCCCTGAGTGGGAGCTAAGAGGTTAAGCTCAGTGGTTAAGAGCACTGGTTGCTCTTCCAGAGGACCCGGGTTCGATTTTCAGCACCCACACGATGGCTGACTGCCTGACAACCATCTGTAACTCCTGGTTCAGGGGATCCAATGCCCTCTTCTGACCCCTGCAGGCACTCCACATACCAGGTACACATACATACAGGCAGGCACAACTCCATACACACAAAAGGTAACGGAACCAAAGGTGGTACTGTCTGGTAGCTCCATCGCACTGACACTGAGAGGGGGACATTCTACTGAGATCACATCTGCTACGGGAGCATGGCAATGTAGGGCAAAGGTCTGCAAACCTCAGGAGACTTTTACACCTGCTTTGATGGACTGGACTGTAAAGCGAAAACTGTACGAGCTTCTCATACAGTGTCTATCTTGAGCTGTAGATCATTTTACCATAAAGAGTCAGTGGTTTTGGATCAAGAGTGGACTGTGATATTATAATACATAAAGAAATATTAGGCTGGGAGGTGTCTCCGTGGGTTAGGGTACCCAAGTATGACTTTCCAAACCCACGTAGGGCAGGATCATGGCCCGATGACCTTCCCCAGCTGGATCTGGGGTTAACTCCATCATTGTCAGAACCACCCTGTGGAAAGTGCTGTGGGCTGAGAGAGTAGAGCAGGAGGAAACAGCGTGTCCTGGACCACCCACCTTGTAACTGGGGTTCCCCCTCTTTTAAACCTGATGGGCAGGGGACACTCTATCTCTCTCAATACTCCTTTCTACAAAAACAATTTCTGTTAGAAAGCTTTTTAAACACAGTCACCATTAAGGAAAAAAGAGAAGGATAGGTTACTGTTACATTCCCTCCAAATAGTCACTGAAGTTCTGATCTCCAGCATTTCAGGATGTGACCTCACTTAGAAACATGGATGGCACAGACCTAATTAGTTAAGATGAACTCACGTTAGAGTAGGCGGGCCCAGTCCAATGGGACTGGCATCCCTCCCGGAAGAGAACATTCACGGACGGAGGCAGAGACTACGTGATGTGGCTACAAGCCAAGGAAAACCAGGGGAGCCCAGCCGCGACCAGAAGCTGCCAGAGGCAACCAGGGTGCCCCTGCAGGTGTGAGAGGTGGAGATGGCCTGCCAACCATGACCTCAGACTGCCCTGTCCAAGGGCACGGAGATGCCTCTGTTGGCTTAAGCTGCCCAGCTGTGGCGTTTTGTCACAGCAGCCGCAGGAAACTAACGCACCCACTGAAAGGGATCCACAGTACCCAGTCTTGGATCTCTGTTGCGTAAGCGAAGGGAGCTCCTTTCTGCTGGTCTACCTGTGAGAGTTTCCTGAGCGCTCACAGTGTCAGCGCTCTGCTCGTGAGGGTAGAACCTGCCATGGTCGGAATGTTGGTATCGTCCTAAAACTTCACCTGTTAGAACTTGTGGGTGCTCCTTGACTGGGGGCAGGGGCTACACCTGGGATGGTAAATTCTGATTATCTATAACTATGACTTCACCTGTTAGAACTTATGGGTGCTCCTTGACTGGGGGCGGGGGCTACACCTGGGATGGTAAATTCTGATTATCTATAACTATAACTTCACCTGTTAGAACCTATGGGTGTTCCTTGACTGGGGGCAGGGATTACTCCTGGGATGGTAAATTTTGATTATCTATAACTATAACTGTGCTGAGTCTGTCTAGCGTTAGGGTAAAAGAACATGTCAGACACAGGAGATGCTCAGTCAGTAAAGGGCTTGAGCACAATCGTGAAGACACAACTTGATCCCCAGGACCACATGAAGAGTCTGATACAGTGGCTTGTAATCGAGGCAGGGACAGGAGGTCCCCCTGTGTGAGTCAATGACCCCAGGTCTTAGGGACAGACCCTGTCTCAAAACAACAACAAACTAAAACAACGCCCCCCCACCCCAGGAAGGGGAATGAATGATACCTGAGACTGTCCTTTAGTCTACCCACACATGGTCACACACATGTGAGCCCCCCCAAGGTGCATTTAATACTCAGATAAACCCATCATAAAACTAAAACACTAAGGTGGGGTCATCTTGCATCAGGGGCTGTTCAGTTTGAGAGGTGAGAGCTTCAGGAATCTGCCAAGTCCTAAAGACTGCACTCTGGTGACTAATAATATAGTAGTAACAGTACCACGGAGGTTCCTGTGTGTCCTCGGTTCTGCAGTGTGAGTCTGGCACCCTGGCCTTGGGCCTGTAGGGAATAGATTTTTATCTTATTTGCCTCTAGACAAGGACTGTTGAGCTAAATTCTTAGTGCAGAATGAAGGAAGGCCCAGAGAGGGCGGGTCACGTGACTTAGACGGCACAGCACCTCTCTCCTGTCCCCATGAACAACCTGCCAGGTAGCATTTAGTCCTCTTCGAATGATGCCCTGGGCTCAGACTCCCAGCGGAGCAGAGTAAGGAAGCCTGTCCCAGAAGATTGAGTGCAGACCACTCGTGCCGTTGGTCTCCTGCGGTTCACCTCTAGCTTGCTGAAGAACCGAGATTTCTCGACATTTCTGTGTTTCTGTTTGTTTGTTTGCAATTGATTCAAAGATACCCCCACACGCCCCCACCCCCACCCCAGGCTCACTCTCTCCTTTAGGACAGTGTCTGCTTACTTTGCAGTCTTGTGAAAACACAAGCCCTTGGGCCAGGCCCAGAGGGTTCTGTGTGTTTGATGGTTCTCTGTGGTACTGGTGATCGGGTGACCGGAGGCTGGCCAAGCGGTAAGTGGATCCAGGCGCAGCCTCTCTCCTTTGATAACGGGGAGTAATCTGTGTAAGGTTAAGGTTCACCTCGTGTAAACGCCCCCTTTTACTTGTATTTTCTTCTGGTCAGTATACTCAGAGCCCTAGGGGGTTAAAAAATCATTTATTTGAAACCCCGTGGTCCTGTCAATTTGCCTCTAAACCATCGCGAAGGCAAACAAGTGACAGCAACGAGAGAATGAAGCTAGGGCTCTAGAAGGTTCTTTCGTGGCTCCTCCTGCTGATGCCTACGAAGCTGTCTCATCTGCAGGTCACCCAGGGTCACCGGGGAGGCTTGGATGCTGACACTTCGCAGACCTGCTGACACTCCATCTGGAGGCCTGTGCCTGGGGAAGACCACCGAGCCAGCACATAGCGGTGACATTCAAGCTCTGCTCAACCTGTGTCTGTATACCAGTGACGAAATTCACAACTCGGCTGTCCCCCGGGGCTGCTAGTGTTTGTCTTCCGGGATGGATTCTTGTGGTGGCCTGTGCCAGGGGCCACAGCGAGTCCTTCTCCCTGCCTGGTGTCGATGAGCGGCATCTCTGAGGGACAACTCAGGAATGCTGCTGACGCTATGATCCAGCTCAACACCCTGGCCCACTTGTTCCAGGACCCACGTAGGCATAAGGATCTCAGCTGCCGCCGGTCAGGAGCAGGAACCAAGTTCCCATGGTGCCAGCTGCCTGTTTGTGGCCAGAGGGTTCATAAACCGTCAAAATTGGGCAGAAGCCAGAAATACCCACAGGGTATAGAAGTGAAACCAAGCCATGGGTATCTAGTGGCTGCACAGGGTTCAGACCTTTGCTCTGGAACACTATCTTCTGCAGCCTTACGGGAACTGTGTTCTTGCAGAGGCTGAACACTCCCGCTAACATACCGACTCCACGAAGGCAGCCTGGCCTCCTGCTCCTCATGTAAAGTGCCAAGAGGGTCATCACAGGAGCCAAGGGGAGCCTTTTGACTATGTCCAGAGCTCTTGGTTCCAGTCATGGCTCTGACATTTTTTTGTTTTGTTTTGTTTTGTTGCTTTTTGAGCTGGGACAAGTAGCTTGGTGTCCAGGGGAAATCCTTATTTGTCTTGTGGCTTCTGGGCTGCTCCCAGGGCGTGAATGTAAGGTGGGGACACTGGGGATGCACCCCCCACCCCAGAGCTCTGTTTCCTCCTGAGACTCTAGCCAGTGTCTCAAGCCACTCCCTAGCTCCCAGGACTCTGGTAAATCAGGTGGCATTATAGGGCCCCAGATGTGACTTAGCTGCTTTCTTTACTGAGGAAGGAGTTGCTGCTCTAAGAGCTTAAACAGTGTACCCAGTCTTTTTTATTTAAATTAGAAACATGCTTGCTTCACATGTCAATCCCAGCTCCCTCTCCCTCCCCTCCTCCTCCATTCCCCCAATCCCATGAAGGTGAGGCCCTTCATGGGGGAATCTCCAAAGTCTGTCATATCATCTAGGGAAGGGCGTAGGCCCTTCCCCATGTGTCCAGGCTGACAGAGCATCCATCCATGTAGAATGGGCTCCCAAAGTCCATTCAAAAGCCAGGGATAAATACTGATCTAGTACCCAAGGCCCCAAAGATTGCCGAGGCCTCCTCACTGACACCCAAGTTCAGGGGGTCTGGATCAGTCCCATGCTGGCCTCTCAGCCGTAAGTCTGGGGTCCATGAGCTTCAGGTCAGCTGTTCTATGGGTTTCACCCACCCGGTCATGACCCCTTTGCTCATCACTCCTCCCTCTCTGCAACTGGGTTCCAGGAGTTCAGTT